GGCGCCATGGTCCTGCGGAGAGAAGTCACGGCGGCCAAGCCGCGCGAGGGGGGACGGGAAACCATTTGATGCACACGAGCACATCCGCCATTGTCTTTCCCAACACCTGGCGGGAAGGTGACCGTTCCGCCCCGCCGTGCTACCGAGGGCCTGGTGAATGCTGCAGGGAGGAGGGCGCCCGGGAGCGGGGTGCTGGGTGCAGGGGGTGGTGGTGGCAGCCACATGATGTTTCTGTCGGAGAAATGAGCGCGTCGCGCGCCCTGATGACCGTCATCTATCACCCTTGGCTGATGGCTGCTGCGCGAGGGCCGGATGGGGGGGCGGTCAGCGTCTGCAGGCCGTAGAGAGGGACAGGACAGGGCCTCCCGCGGGCCTTTTCCAGGTCTCGGGGCGGTGCCGGCTCTTGGGCGTTGACTGGTGAAAGGGTGGCAATGGGAACCCCCCCGGGAAACGCCTTGGCACCCGCGCGGTGGAGGGGGGCAGTCGGACTGCTGTGCGTTTTCAAACCCTGCTGCGGGTGGGGTTGGAAAGCGCAGAATTGCCCCATCGGGAACCGCTGACCTTTCCCTGTGTGCCCTTGAGCTAAGGGACCACTGCACCCCTGGTCCTGACCGATGCCAGGACCAGACTTTAGAAACTCTTCGTGGTTTTGCTGTAATGCCCCTCGTTTTGTTGGGGATCTGTGCCCTAACCACCCGCCCGAGGGACACGCTCGCTTGTCTCTCTCTTTGTTCATTGGCAGAGCATTTCCCAGTCATACGCGTCGGTGGTGTAAATATATTCAAGAGAAGCGTTTATCGCCACAGCTTTAGGACATTTAAACAATTTGTGCATCGGTTATCGGCTTCCCATTACCCCCCCAAACCGTCCTTAGAAAGTGGTCGTCTAATTACTGTCTATAGACTGGCCACCCTGAATTTCGTATGAAGAAATTCAGGATCCCACCTTCCCCAAGCAAGACAAAGCACAGAAACCTCAATCTGAAAGATGGAAGCTTTCAAAACTAGAAGATCAATGAGTCAAAGGGGAAAACAAATGAGAAGCTGTTCAATTTTAATCTAACCGTCTATATCGTAATCCCCTTCCCCATGTATTCAGAGGACAAGATGATTCACATCTGTGGTCAAACCAAGGCACCCCCACTTGTATTTGTTTCTCGTGTGTGTGTGTGTGTGTGTGTGTGTGTGTGTGTGCCCTTTCTGACCGGGGGCAGGTTTCTTACAGTTTAGGGAAAGAAGTGAAGAATGTGGGGCTGGAGACTTGATGCTGATGGTTTTGTTAAGGACTGACGAAGTCTTCCCTTTTTTCCCCTCCTCTTTTTTTAGCTCTTCCAAAAGAAATCATCTCCCCTTTCATCTTCTGTTTCCTAAACTCCACCCTTCCCCCCCTTGATTTCTTCGCGAACCCATCCGGAACTCCCTCCCCTGGCCCCTGCCGGCGCAGTCATGGCAGAGAATGATGTGGAAAATGAGCTCTTGGACTATGAGGATGATGAAGTGGAGACAGCCGCTGGAGGAGAGGGGGCCGAAGCCCCTGCCAAGAAGGATGTCAAGGGCTCCTACGTCTCCATCCACAGCTCTGGCTTCCGGGACTTTCTGCTCAAGCCAGAGTTGCTCCGTGCCATTGTTGATTGTGGTTTTGAGCATCCGTCAGAAGGTGATGTTTTTCTTGGTCACGGGGTGCTTGTTGGGCTGAGAAAAACGCGTGCGTGCTCCCCCCCAAGTTGTAGACGTTTATGTTTAGGATGGACAGACACACACAACTTCTGCAGTAGAAGAGACTTGCCCTGTCAGTCATGAGAGTATCCAAGTGCTTAAAGCTCTTCTTGTGACTGGCTCTTTTTTAATCTGCCTGGTTTTAATCTCATCATTTGGCTCTTATTTTTAAACCTGGAGAGGGGTTAAGGAGCCCTCGTTGGCCTCTGTGAAGCATTGGGCTGATAACCAGAAGGTCGGCAGCTTGGCCTCAGCAACTACTGCTCAGGTAAAGATGAGGCGTCTGCGTCCATCAAGCCTTGCAGCCTTGGGAAAGCCTGTGGAGCAGCTCTGCCCCGCCTTCGGGGTTGCTGTGAATTGCACTGACTGGGTGATGATGGGTTGGCTTGGACTGTGAGTTGCTCTTCATTGGGCCAGGGCCAGCTCTAGTCTCTGGAAACCTTGCTGACTGGCCTAAAGATGGCTGGCTTCTAGGTCAGGCGCCGAGTTCGTCTTTGAGCTTGTAGGGCTTCCTGACCCAACGTACAGTGGCTTCATTGGGAGCGTTGGCCTGGGGCAGGCCCTCGGTGTCATGGATTGTTAAAGGTTGAGGAAAATAAGGACAGAGCCCGGGGTTCTGAAGGTGACCTGTTGGTACAGTTAAGAGGGTTCTTAATGGAACCGGGGAGGCCCCCGGAGCTGGAGGAGTGGGAGCCAGAAGGAATTAGGAGGGCCTGATTTGGGGGTGAAAGTGATGGAGGGAGCGAAGAGGCAGGAAGAATGTGAGAGTTGAGAACCCAGGAAATTCTCTGGGACTTGAGTGGTGAAGATGGGTTTGGCAAAGCGACAAAGATTGGGGCGTCAACTGGAGGCTGAGGTCTAACGGAGCTTGTTTTTCTCCTTTAGTCCAGCATGAATGCATCCCTCAGGCCATTCTGGGAATGGATGTCCTGTGCCAGGCCAAGTCAGGCATGGGGAAGACTGCAGTGTTTGTCCTGGCCACCCTGCAACAGCTCGAACCAGTTACTGGGCAGGTATGTTTGGTTGGAGAGAACCCAGCGCCATGATGCTGTCCTCCACGAGTGTGCTGGATGACCGCTGTCTCCTTGCCTGCTGGCTCTGGGAGAATCCCATAAAAGCCCAGTTGGGGTGGAGGGTTGGGGGCCCTCGGGTGGAGGTCTCCAGACCAGAATGGGCCTTTTCACTTCCCCAGAGGGTGGGCGGAATGAAAAGAGGCCATACAGCTCTCTGTCGTGTCCCTTCCAGGTGTCTGTGCTGGTGATGTGTCACACGCGGGAGTTGGCTTTCCAGATCAGCAAGGAGTACGAGCGGTTCTCTAAGTACATGCCCAATGTCAAGGTAAGCCAGAGTGGGGGGGTGGACTGGTATGGGAAGCTTGGGGCTTATACACATGTGCCCTCTTCCTGTCCCACTGATGTCATATGCTTGCACGTGAGCCTCAGGCGTGCAACAGGTAGTAAGTTTCTGCACACTTGGCATGTCCAGATTGTTGTTTTTTTTTTTTAAGTAGGGCTCTTTTGAATAAGTTTTTGTTTCAAGGATGCGGCCGTGGCTCGGTTTTGGGGGGCATTGGTTTACCATGGTTTTCAACGCGAGCTGAATTGCTAGTGTAGTAGGAGGGCCCGTGGCGATGCTCTTTATAAGCCCACCCTTTCTCCCGACCCCGTGCTGATTTCAAGTGGTTTCTTCTGTTGTTGCCAGTGTGAGCTTTGGATTTCGTGGCAGGGGAGGCTGGAAGCCGTCAGCCGCCCTAGTGTCGTGTGTGGCTCTGGAGAATGGGATGAGGAAAGATCGTGAGGGCCACGGCAGTGTGGGCTTGGGCAGATTTTTATTGTGCTTGGTTCCCAGACCTGTAGCTTCAGCTACATTTGGGAGCTTGTTGGGAATGAAGATTTTGTGGCCCCCGCCCAGACCTGAAGATGAGCCTTTGTTTTAAGGAGATCCTTAGGCGTTTGAAAACTGCTGTGTTACACTAACTTCTGGTCTTCCTGGCTGAGGTGGTAAACAGAAAGTACTTCATGGTTCAGTTTTAAGTTATCCTCACTGGGGCACCTATTAGTTATTGTATTTTAGAGAGTAAGAGGTGTTTGACTGTAATCTTAGAGTAAAAGTAGTTTTTTTAAAAGTTAAAGTAGTAGAGTAATATGGTAAAAAGGTTCATGTATTCCCATTTCCAGCCCTACTTCATAGCCCACCAATTTCTGCGTATAGTGGATTTCTGTGACCAAATAGTCAAAGTGGGGGCATTGAGGGGTGGCAGTGGGGCCCTGCGTTCTGCTCTCTCCTCTGTCTCCCTCTGTTGCCACCACCCTGTAAGGATGATGCATTGGAATTCAGTGAGCCTCACCGGTCTTTGTCTAGACAGGGAAAGGTTGAAGGGTGGAAAACGCCCTTCCATATGGGAGCAGGGGGGGCAGTTCAAATGAATCTGTACAATCAGCGAGGGGAGACCATTGCCGACCCTGACAATTGCGGTTTATTCTAGTTCTCTTCCAGAATGTGCAGCCTGGCTGGCATGCGTGAGTCATTTTTTTTTATATGTGTACCATGTGGGTGGCTCTAGTTCACGGTTTACCATGTGCTACTATCACCACGCGGGGTCCCCATTTTTGCATTCCCCTTAGCTGGAAGGCACTGGTGCTCTTTGACTTTGACTTCCTTTCAAAGAGACGTCGTGGTTAGAGTTGGGCTGCTAACTGCAAAGTCAGCAGTTGGAAACCAAAACTCAACTCTGAGGGGAAAGTGAGGCTTCTACCCCCGTAGTGTCGGAAGCCCCGGGACGGTTCTCCCCTGTCCTACAGGGTCGCTCTGCGCCCGCATCGCCTCGGTGGCAGTGAGCGTGGCTTTGGTTTCCTGAGAGATTGGAAGTTGCCCTGGTTTTAGTTCTCGGTGCATGGGTACAGGCCACACGTGCGTACGGGGCTTTATTTTACATTCCCTTAGTAACATTCATACTCCGGCCGAGCACTCTTGTTTGTGTGGGTTTGATGCTTAGCGTTCCCATTGTTACTATTGTGGAAACGTTGAGCCCACGAGTGAGCCACCCATATCATCTCCCTGCAGCAACTTAAAAAGAGCATTCCTGGCAGTGAGATCCTGGCAAATTTTCTTTATTACTGCACCGTAGTAATGCTGCCGTGACTTGGTGAGAGAGGGGGCCGTTAAAATGTCCCACCCCTGGATCTGTTTCGTTACTCTTTTGTGGTGTTGGGCCTATTTTCTCAGTATTTTTGTAAACTGGGATTTTATATCTGAAAGCCTAATTGATTCAAGTTCAGTACTTTTTTTGGTACAAAATCTTTAATAGGTGGTAATAGCTCTGTACTTGTGTTGCTTACCTAGCTGATGTACCCCGAGTGATTTTAAGGATTAGCAGAGGATGAGGGCTATGAAGGTCTGATTTTACCGCTGTTCTTTTCTCCTTTAAAAGTAGAAAACCGTTTCTGGTGTTGGTCGGCTCTGTGTTAACCCCTAGATCCTCAGTGCGCAAATTTAACATGGACTGATAAGTTTAACATACCTGTTATTTCATCAGGTTTATTGTGCTAAGGAGATTAAAAACATGGGCCCAGTTAGGAAAATGATGCTTCTGTGCCCTTTTTGTGGCATCTCGCGACACACACCGCTTTGTCCTTATTCTTAATGGTGAAATGAAGCCTGGCCTCAGATGCGTGTGATGGGAGGGTCTTAGCAGCTTTGGTCAGAGTAGGCATGTGAGCTGTGCAAGTCAGTGTCTGGGCCTCAATCTTTGGAGCCAAATGATGTGTAGTTGGTACAGGAGCACGTGCGTGCAAGGACGACTCCTAATCTATCACCCGTGACTGATGGCTCTGGGCTCATGGAGGGTGGCGAAGGCTAAGGGAGTGTAAATGGCTCTCTGCGATCTTGAATTTTACATTTGTAACCTCCAGCCCTGGCCTGGTCTGTTCAGGAACAGATCACAGCCCCGGGAGTCCTCGGGGTCTCAAATCAATCAAGGTGGACTTGACGGCCCACAGAAACAAGACTTGATTTCAGCCTGGAATGTTGGGGGACTGTTCAGTGACTGGAGTTTTCCTCCCTGTGAGACTCACTCTTTGCTCCCTTGGGTTGCCAGGTCGCGGTGTTTTTTGGTGGTCTCTCTATCAAGAAGGATGAAGAGGTGCTGAAGAAGAATTGCCCGCATATCGTTGTGGGGACCCCTGGCCGAATCCTCGCCCTGGCTCGAAATAAGAGCCTGAACCTCAAACATATAAAACACTTTATCTTGGATGAATGTGATAAGATGCTCGACCAGCTTGGTGAGTGGCGGTGCTAGCACCTACAGAGTCACTTAGGGAGCTGCCTTTTGGAGCCAAATGATGTTTAGTTGATACAGGAGCACTTTTGTGCAAAGACGACTCTTAATCTATCACCCATGACTGATGGCTCTGGGCGCCCTGGGGGGGTGATTAGGATTCAGGGACCTTAAGTCAGTCTTATTATTTTTAAGCAGCCCTGGTGATCCAGGAGAAAGGGATTAACATTCTTCCTTTCTGAGACACATCTGTTCCCTTTGGGAACGGGATACTTCGCTAATTTTGGATACCGGCACCCCGCACCCCCTCGATATTGTATTGCCATGGTAGACGTTACAGGAAAACATTAGACTGCCTACCATTTGGCAGTCCCAACACAGCGTGTGTATAGCTGGGCACATCACTAAACTCAGGATCAGTGTGAAGAATGTTTGTATTGTATGTGCCTCCACTGGGCTCAGCAAGGGGGAACGTCCTGTAAACCAGCGCACCGCCAAGGAGCGGTTGTCCCAGGTGATCTTGGGTTATCCGAGAGGGCCATCTCAGATGGACGCCAGCTAGGGAGTGGTCTATCCCGTCTGCTCCAGCAGGAAGCCATGCTCTAGAAAAGGCAGGCTGCGGCAGGAAGTAGGTCACTCATGTTGACTGCAAAGTGCTAGGGACTTGGGAAGGGCTGTACCAGGGGCTTTTAATAGACCTCATGTTTGTGAGTCTGAAGCGGGCTTTGCCCCCGTTTTACTGTGGGCACTGGGCTTTCATGATCTGGAAGGTGATTCCACGTAGACGCTGCACATGTCTTGCTCTTTCACGGTGCCGTTATTCTGGGCTCTTACAGGGTTGGAGACGAGAGCGACCCGTCACCCGTGGGCGGCGCCAGTCTCTGCGTGTTAGAGGCTTGCTTCTGGTCACGATCATGCCCTTTTTTTGTTCGTTTCCCTTTTTACAGACATGCGTCGGGATGTCCAGGAAATTTTTCGCATGACCCCCCATGAGAAGCAGGTCATGATGTTCAGTGCTACCTTGAGCAAAGATGTTCGTCCAGTCTGCCGCAAGTTCATGCAAGATGTAAATACCCTTCTACCTTCTCTCCCTCCACTCCCCGCCTGATGCCTCCTCCCCTCCTGGCCCTCTTCCTGCAGACTCCCTGTCCTCAAGCATCTCGGAGCCATGACTCCTGGACAAGACAAAGGCAGAGACAGCTAGTGTTAGGGGCTGCGCGCTGTCAGGGAACCTCCGGAAGACTTGGTCGGTTAACATGAGAGCGGGTAGTATTCGACCTTTTTTTTAAAAAAAAAAAAACCACTACATTTTTGAACAACAACTACTTTTGGGGGGAGGGCAGGAGTTTCTGCCTTCCCACCCATTGACTCCTCCATATCCCCTACGCGCACACAACCTCAAGGTGGCATCGAGCATACAACTGGGGCCTTCAGCTCCCCCACACTCACACCTCCCGGTGGCAGGCGAGCCAGAGAGGGACAGACAGACAGACGGCAGGGCATGTCCAAAAGAAGAGCAAGCTGCACCAAGGAATCAGCCCCCTCCCCACCTCCAGGGGCGGGGGCCTTTGGCACCTCAATCCCCGACTCCCTACTCCTTCCCACCCTTACCTCCTCGCACCCGCACCCATCGGAGCCTCCGTTGATGTGAGCGGCAACACAGCGAGCACCGCGGCTCGGCAGGGAATGCAGACAGCACCCAGCAGCAGACGGCGACAGCGGAGGCCATGGGAAGCCTGACCAGGAAGCTGAAGACTAAACCAGCCTTTTTTTGTCCTGTTCCTGAGCCCAACGCGTGTCATGCGTCCATTCCCACCATGTGTGTTGGGGGAGGGGTGTCCTAAATGGGCTGGTAGTTTTTTCTTTTCCTTTTTTAATACTTGGGAGAGGGAGATGGGGGAAAATTCGAGTGAGGGGTTTCCTTGCGCTTGGCCGCGTCCAAGTGGGTGTTAGGCTTGGGCCTCGGTGAGGCCCGTTCTAGAAGCAGCGGAGTGGGGGTTTTCTCCTGCTGCATCGCGCCTTCCCCGGGGCTCGGAACCCTGGGTCTCTGGCTCTGCTCAGACCAGGAGTAGACTTGAAGGAGGACATGGGCATTTCTTTGAAAAACCTGCCCTTTGCTAGCCTGGCTTGGGGTTGGGCTTGTGGGTTTGGCCCTGAGAGAGAGACACACAAACCCCCCTTACCCAGCTTTGTCTCTTGAGTGTTCATGTTAACCGAATGTCCACGAGTTACTGTGAAGGGTGTTGGGGAAGTTGAACTTTTGGATGATTGAATATTGTGTCAGTTTCTCTCTCTCATTACCTTTCTCCTCCCCCCTTCAAGGGTTTTATGTTTTGTTTAAGATGCTGCCATTTTCCCCTCCATGCACTAGTTTTTTGTTTTGTCTTTTTGGGTAGATTCCATATAACCTTGCGATTGAGGAGACTGAGTTCAGAGACCGGTCTCATCCCAAACCTGCTCTCTTGAGGTCAAGGGGTTCAGTGCCTTGGCTGTGTTTTGCTTCTCCTTTTGTGGCATTTTGGCCCTGTGCGTTGTAGCATTTCCCTCTTAATGATGAGTCCATGACTTTCCTGTTGGAGAAAATATTCAAACTGCTTATCCTTGTCCCTGTCCCTACCCCCCATGATAGCCAGCTCCAGTGGGCTTCCTGTGCCCTGCAGTCACTTTCCCCAGTGCTTCCCAGCTGTTTGGGTCAGAGATGGGGTCCCTTTGAGGAACCTCTCCCGTGACCAGGTTTCTTTTTTTTTCTTGAAGTGGTCCCTTCCACTGAAGGTTTTCTGTCGGGCCATCTTAAAACCCCACTGAGAAGAAGGAAATTAGATTTTTCCATGAAAGAAAGCCACATGAAAATGTGGATTTTTTATTTTTGTTTTTTTAACTTTTTTTGGTGGGGGGGTTGGGGTTTTTAATCTTCTCTCTTCTCCCCATCCCTCCATGGGGTGTATTGGATATCAACTTCCTCCATCCCCCCCCAGGTTAACCCCCCCACTCTGCCCTCCCGTTCCCCATCCCCTTCCTCCCCCCCAGCCAATGGAGATCTTCGTGGATGACGAGACCAAGCTGACGCTGCATGGGCTGCAGCAGTACTACGTGAAACTGAAGGACAACGAGAAGAACCGGAAGCTCTTTGACCTCCTAGATGTCCTTGAGTTTAACCAGGTCAGTTCCAAGTCAAGTTCCAGGATGGGCATTGGATTCCTCTCCAGCCATAGCAGGAACCTGAGTATTCACCCTATTTTGGTTTCGGAAAGCCCTTGTGATGTCGGAGGGGATGGTGGGGGGAGTCTCAGACGTGGGTATCATTGTGGAGCTGTGCGGTGTGCCAAGGCGGGCAGAGCACGAACACGGTGGAGCTGCTTGCTGCTGTCCAGTGCCACCATGGGCTGGTACTCAGTAAATACGGCCCCGAAAAAGAGAAGTGGATTTCACGGCTTTAAACATCCCTCATTACCTTCGGGCTCATTATCCACAAGTGAACGTAGCTGTAATTCGATGGGAGACATTCCAGAAATCCAGAAGCGGTCAAGGAATTGGGGCTCTTGTTGCTGACTGGAAATGCAGAATGCCAGGGACTTGCCTCTGCTTCATCGACTGGGATTGGTAATAAGCCGGATGGCCTTCAGAGCATGAACTGCAGACCACGTGATGATGCTCGTGGGTGAAGAGCTCCCTCAAACAGCAAGGGGCGCTGTGGTCCACGTTGGAGAAGAGTAGGCAGCAGTGTGTCGTGGTTTTACCCTATGTGGTCTGGGCTGTGGAACAAATCCCAGAAGCCGGCCTCTGAAGAACATGGCATCAGGATTGGGGACAACTCAGGAACAACACGGGTGACGTGACTTTGCTTGCTGGAAGTGAAGATCGCCTACTCGTAGTACTATGAAAATACCGGAAGTTAGATTTGTGGGGTACCTGGGAACGGGTGGGGAATTGAAGTGGTTAAGGGATATTCTATTTGGGTCACCCCCGGTGCCCAGAGGCAGTCAAGACATCGAGTGATAACACTGCACTTGGCAACTCTGCAGAAGACCTCCTTAACGCTGTCAAAAGCTGAGGTGTGTGTGACCCAGTCCGCTTTGTTGGTCTCATACAAGTGAGAGAGAGCTGGGCTGGGGGAGGGGGGGACCAGTGTATTGGTTGACAGAACTGAATCAGTAACCGCTGGTATTCCCCTTAGAAAAGAGGAGGTGAGGCTATGTCTTACTTTGGACTTGTAATGAAAGACAAACGAGAACACGTCGTATTTGGTCAAGTGGAGGAAACCGGTGGATGGACAAGACAGCCAGCTATCAAAGACTGCGGCCGTGGCATAGGACCGGCCTGCCGTGGGTCAGAGCTGCCATCCAGTCCGATGCGGATTCACTGTGGGACAGGGTAGAACTGCCCCTGTGGGTTCCCAAGACTCGTTCTTTATGGGAGTAGAAAGCTGCCTCTTCCTCGGACCAGCTCCTGGTTTTGAACTTGGGAGCTCACATTTGCATGTAACCCACCATTCCACCAAGGCTCCTTATCTGAAAATGGTAAGATCGGTCCTTTGGGTGTGTTATTTCTGTGAACAGGAACCCTAGTCCCGGTCTTTCCTGAGTTTACCTCTGTGAGGAGGACTTAACCTGGTCTCCCCACATGTCTGACTTTCTTGGCCGTTACCCTCTGAGCCTTTTCAAAGACCAGTCTGTCTTAGCTGCTGTCCAGTCCCTGCCGGCTCAGCGTGAGCCTCTAGGTGCAGGGTAGTCAGCCTTTCCGAGCCTGATGCCAGGCTGCTCTCTGAGGCGTGCCTGAGTTATTTCAAACCAGGAGCTTTTCTGCCAGTCGTTAGGTGCTTAACTGTACCGCCCAGGACCTGAGGCCATTCTAAAGTGGACCCAAAGCTCGTTGTCAGCAAGTCTCTTTAAAGCTCATCCCTTTCATTTGTGGCGTGTGACACACACGGAGCCATACGCCTGACGCAACGGTGACAGCACCCAGCCCGCTTCCCATTGTGAGAGTCTGGGTTTCCCCCTGACGGCCCCCAGCCCCCCAGCTCTCCAGCTCTCAGTAGTCTTCAGTGGCTTTTTCTTGGTGTAAGAAACAGCTCCCCCCCCTCCGTATAATGGCATTGTGAAATATTTATGAGATTGATTCGCTTGGCTGAATATGGTGTCTTCCGGTTTTGTCGACGGCATGAGGTGTGTGACCGTCTCGTCTCGCTTTCCAGGGATGCATAATGGCTGTGTGTGTGTGTGTGTGTGTGTGTGTGTGTACACACACCAGAGCTTGTTGACTCGTTTCTCCACAGGGGGGCCTTTGCGTGGTCTCCATCTTTTAGCGGTTTCACAGGAAGGGTGTGCCCGCTGTGTCCGTGCTGTGTCGTTCTCTGGACTGTTGGGCCAGGTGGGGCAGCAGGGTTTCTGTTTGCAGGGGGCTGAGGGCAGCACCGCACTGTCTCCATGGTGGTTATTCAGTTCTGAAGTCCGCCAGCAGTGTGCCGTTACTCCCTCCAACTAAGGATTCCCCAGCTTTCCTTCAAGGCATGCGTGATTGTTGGCCGCCTGGGCACCATCTTTGGTAAATTGTCTATGCATGTCTTGTACCCATTTTTTTTATGGTGCTGTGTGTATTTTTTCTTAAGGTTTTTTTAAATATCATTGCCAAATGTTTGTTCCCTTTTTACTCATTGATGTCTATAACTGTCATATTTTAGAGAGCCCCAGTTCTCTGTTTTATCTCACGTGTGTGCGTGTTTTTCATTCAGTTTGGTAGCATATCTGTGCCTTGTGTCCGGCCTTCAGTTTGTCCCTGCTTTCTGTGGACGGTCCTTGGGGTCCTAGGGCTTCTGTTCAGGTCTTGCACGTGGTACAAGGTATGGGCCCCGTTTGACCCTTTTGTAGATGGAGACCCAGTTTTCCCAGCACCATTTACTGAAAAGACTGCACTTAATGTGTTTTAGTCCTTTACCAAAAAGCAGGCGTCTGTAGAGGTGAGGCTTTCTACTCTTGTACAGAGTTGAGAGTCGTTGAACCCTGCCCTCGGGTCACTGAGTCAGAACTGACTCGTAGGCAGGGACGTCTGTTTTTGAAGAGCGTGCTTGTTGTGTTTCTGGGTCCTCCGTTCTGATCCATGGGTCTACGTGGCTGTCAGTAGGGAGTGAGAGGTGTCCGACTTTGCTTGGTAGCCATCCTAGAGGGTAGAGGGGAACTGCCCTCGTGGGATTTCCAAGGCTGTAAATTCTATTTCTTTCTTATTAGAGGCCATAAGTTTTTTTACATAAGGAAACTGCTGCCTCTTTCTGCCCCTGAGCATCTGGTGGGTTTGAACTATTGGCCTTTTGGTTAGCAGCGGCACATGTAACCACTGTACCACCAGGATTCCTCAGAGAGAGTCTCAGTTAAGAGTCAGGGCAGAGAGAAAACAGATGGGGACAGGGACTGGGCGGAATGCTACTAAAAGTGAAATGACTGAAAACAGTCTCTCTCAGGCACACAGACGCCCCTGCACGCTCGCTCGCTTGCGCACACACACTCTTCCTCTCCCTCTCCTGGGTCGACCCCTCCACGCGGCCCTCACCTAGGTGGTGATCTTTGTGAAGTCCGTGCAGCGTTGCATTGCCCTGGCCCAGCTCCTCGTGGAGCAGAACTTCCCCGCCATCGCCATCCACCGGGGCATGCCCCAGGAAGAGAGGTGAGTTGGAAGGGTGGGGCGGGGGGGCGTGCCCTCACGAGATGCTCCACGCTCAGAAGAGCATCTCAGTGCGGCTTCTCTTTCCTCCCTCTCATTAGGCTGTCTCGGTACCAGCAGTTTAAAGATTTTCAACGACGAATTCTTGTGGCCACCAACCTGTTTGGCCGAGGCATGGACATTGAGCGGGTGAACATTGCTTTCAACTATGACATGCCTGAGGATTCCGACACCTACCTGCATCGGGTAAGCACCCCGCCCAGATCAGCATCCCGTTCATCTACCCTTTCCCACCCTCCTCGTGTTCACAAGCTTCGGTACTAACCCCTGTCCTCTCCATCCAGGTGGCCAGAGCAGGCCGGTTTGGCACCAAGGGCTTGGCCATCACATTTGTGTCAGATGAGAATGATGCCAAGATTCTCAATGATGTTCAGGACCGCTTTGAGGTCAATATCAGTGAGCTGCCGGACGAGATCGATATCTCCTCCTACAGTGAGTATCGGGCGCAGGGCACTGCCTCTCCCCGCTGCTTAGTTGCTTATTCTTTAGTAGTTTGTCTTGCAGCCCGTTCGGTGTGGAAAGCCTCCAACAGGAATAAAGTTCACGCTCTCCTGCTCCTTGACGCCATGTTTTGTTAACTTCTGTGAGGCTCTCTCTTCGGGCGTCAGATTACTTCTCTTTCCCCCTTGAACGGCACAAACTTCTGCACATGTTAGTGGGCTTGAAAAGGTTCCTGGGAAAATTCCAATTTTCCACGAACTTAAAAGATCTCCCTTCCGTGTGTGTGTGTGTGTGTGTGTGTGTGTGTGTGTGTGTGTGCCGAGCCTGCTTTGTGATTCCCCGGCCTTACTCTGTCCTGTGTTCTCTTTAGTTGAACAGACGCGGTAGAGGAGCCACGGGTTCTGGACGTGTGACGGTCTGTCCCCGTGCAGAAGACAACACCAGGCGTGGGGGTGAAGGAGACACTACTGCCACCTCCCTGACCCCCTCCCCCACGGCCTCCCCTTTTGCATCACCACCACTCCTAAGTCCCCTGTCCTGATTTGTCAAAAGACTTTTTTTAACAAAAACAAAAAATGAAGTGTGTGCATCTGTGGTATCTGTTAGCACTCCATCCCTTTATTGGATTTGGGGTGGGGTCCTTTTAGGGCGGGGCTCAGCAGTCAGTAGAAGAGCCTGTTAGGGCCGCAGCACACTGCAGAGGGCCTCGTGCCCCGCTGCGGCCAATTTCGGGCCGGCCGTGGAAGGCTCGCTTCCATCTTCTTGGTGGTCAGGGATAGTACTGATGGGGGAGGGCTGAGGGTGGGTAGTGTATCCAGATTTTCAATGCTGGAGAACTGGCGGTGGGGAGGGGTGAGGAGACGTGTGGAGTTCAGGCGTGATCACCCCCCAGGCTCTCTCGGTGTCTCCTCATCTGTTCCTTTAACTTCTGGATCTTGAGTACCAGGGCCTGCGCCTCCCAGGCCCCCTCTTGGCCCTCCAGCATGGCCTGGTACAGCTCCAGCTGCTCCTCCAGCAGCTCCTCGGCCTGGGCCAGCTCGGCTGTGCGGCGGGACCCAGGACCCTGGGTGAGGGGGCAGCCATTGGGGCGGAGGACGTTAACCCCAGAGGGCAAGAGTCCTACCTTCCCCGTCTCCTTCCACTTCATCCGTTTCAAGATCCCCTGTGCTGGAAGTGGACGCCAGTGTGCTTCCTGTCTTGGCCATAGACCTCTAGGGGGCGTCGGGAGCCTGCTGGCCCAGGGAGTATAGAACTGGACCCTGAGGCCCTCTTCCCTCCCTGTACAGCAGTCTGGGGTCAAGGGAAGGAACGTACTGGGCCTTCCCTCCCTTTAAGAAATAATTAACTTCCTGGGGGGAGGAATTCCTGTTCAAGGACTTTGTGAACTGCTTTGGGGAGGAAAGGAAGCCCTGGGGGTGGGGGTAGGGAAGGAGCTGGGAGCCGAAACGGCAGCAAGTTCCGAGGGTAAGGGGGTGGGGGGAGACTTTTTGGTTCTAGCCATTGGGTGGGGAGAATCAGGACAGCTTCTCCTACCCCCACTCTCAAGCCCCTTCTCCGCTCTCACTCACCCTGGGCGGTGACCTCGGTCCACTGTCCAAGGAGCTGGGCTGCCCTTTGGGGCTCCTAGAGCAGCATCGGGAGGCTTGGGGGACCAGGCTCCAGGAGGGTAGAAGGCCACGGCAACAGCATCGAGAGAGCCAGGGCAGAGGGAGCACCATGGTGGTGGGTCGGGGAGCTGTCTGAGCTGGCCAGCAACCACCAGGAACTGGCTCCCACTGGGCTTCGGTCCTTGCTTCGATGCCCAGCCCCGTGTAGGCCCCCGCCCCTACCCTGCTCTGCTGCCCCTCCTCCCAGCCTGGCCCCAGACAGAGTCCAAGACCTGCTGCTGAAGTGGAACAACATTGCTGCTAGGTTAGGCAGAACTGAACTGTGTGGCCTTCCCATTGGTCTCTGCGAGGTAGGCCTTGCACATGGGAAATACGCGTTCCCAATACCATCTCTCCTTGAAACTTCTGAAGACCGTCTACAGTAGGTTTACAGTGGAGCACACTGTCCCTGAGGGTTTCGCTCGGCACTCAGGCCAGTCTGGTTTGAAGCTAATTCCAGGCCAGCTGTGCTGGGGAGCCACAGCTGGCTGATGGGAGCACTCAGAAGATTCATGCCCGGGCCTTGAGTTGGATGTCACCTTTGACGGTAACTGCCCCAGGATTTTCTAGGCTGTCGTTATGCCAGGCCTTTTCTCCTCCAGGAGGGAATGTTTAATAGAAACCAGAGCTCTCCATTTATATTTTGTTTCCTTAGTCTGTAATACAGTCCCTTAACTGAGGGTTCTGGTCTGGCTGCTGTAGGGGTCTTGTCTAAAGGAAGGAACCAGCAGGGAGCTGCTGGTTATCGGTTGAGGGGGCTGCACAACTCTTGTCCCGTCTCCCAATCCTTGGCACAAAGCCAGAGTTGATGGCACCTTTAGTATTGCATTGTACCCAGGTCACTGGATTGACGGCTGGCTGACCTTGCAGGTAAAAATTCCACTGGAGTTAGGGACTTAGGGTTACTGAAAGTTATCTAATCCATTAATGTGAAAGCCTATGAAGGGTGAGCTCTTGCTGGGCTCTGATTTCCTGAAGAGGAGGACACTAGGACGCAGATTTCAGGGTCTGTCTAAACAACAAATAAGCTCTCATTAAGGGTGACCGGGCTCTGGATTCTCAGGATGTGAAGTTTGATGGACATGACATTGCACAAAGTATGTTTTCCCTTTTTCTCTGAGGCTTGACTGCGACCCAGGAGCCCCTGTGTAAAGTTCCTGTACTGGTCTCCCCCTCTGGAGAAAGAAGAGTGACGTGCTAACGTCAGTGTCCCCACAACCAGAGTAGAGAGTGCCCGGCTCCCTCTACCAACTGCCCTGAGAAGGGGCACAGTAGTACAAGGTCCTGGACGGGAAGTGGAAGAGAAATTGAAGTGCAACAGACCAGCCGCGGTGGTCAGACAGACAGTGGGACACCACTCCACCCCCAAAAGAACAGTCATCCTCTGTGTGGCCATCCTTCAGGACTGGACCGGGATTCTCCCTGTGTTCGACTAGGCAACCCTTTAAGGGGAAAGGGCCATGTTTATCCAAGGCCACGGTTAGGGCAGGAGCAGTGGAAGTGGAGGATGCTGGGAGGGAGAGCAAGCAATGGGACATAGAGGGGACTATACAGATGGGTTGAAAGAAACTAGCAAAATATACAAATTAAACTTTTACCTAAATCCTAAGCTAAAGGGAAAAAAGGCTCTGATTCACCACAGTGAGTTCATTCAGGGCAGCCTTTTGTATCCATGCGTACCTTCGTTTATTAGAACTTATTAGTGACTGCAGGGCTTTTAAATTTAAAGATTTGATTCCCTGGTTATCTAGAGATTTCTGAGGGTCAAACTGGTTTCACAAAATTGGACACTAGGGGAAAACAGGCAGCAGGTGGAGGAACCCTTTCCTGGGCAGCCGTGCCTTGTTTGCACTGTAGAATACCAGAAAAAGAACTTTTTTTTTCAAAGTGATGTAGTTAATTTTTTAAAACAAAACCATATCGCCTTCAAAGCTCTCCTGTATACACTTGTCAAATCTGCAACTCCATCCTTGGAGACACTTTTCAAACTCCTGTTTGGATGGCTGACAGCACCCCTCTCCGTTTTCTTCCTCCTGTTTGGGTGGCTGATAGCACCCCTCTCTGTTTTCTTCACTCCTGCGTTGTCAAATCGCCGTCCTTTTGGGTCTCCCTTCATTCGCACAAGTTGCGTGGAGCAAGGTCAGGTGAGTAAGGTGCGTGCGACAAGAGGCATGCTGGCTTTTTGCCAAAAGCTGGCACGCTGAGAGATGGCTGCGTGAGCAGGTGCATTATCATGGTGGCAAAACCAGCCCCCTGTCTGCCACAAATCAGGCCTTTGTTGTTGCACACTGTTACACAATCTTTTCAGAACTTCTAAATGGCTTGGTTAGCATGATGGAGTTCATTAACTCCAAATGCAGTACGAGTTGACATTTTCATCTGTTTAGGGATCTTCCCAGTTGACACCACTGGGTGCACTAATGAGAGCAAGTTGCTCCAGGCTTGCTTAGCAGGAGAAATGCGTACTATGCAAGCTCCACCCCACAGAGCTTTCCGCTTTTAGAGGGGTACCCCCTCGTATTCCCCTCGGTCTGCAGCTCTTCCCATGAGGGAAGAATGGCTCTCTTGGATCACCCCTTTAACTTCTTCAGCTCTGCGTCGCCTTCCTTTGGCCCAGGAGCCTGCCTCCTTTGCCACACTCAGCCTGAACCCTGCATTCCTGGGGGGTCAGAGGAGCTTGGGGCTGTGGCGGAGGGTACCACAAGAATGAAGGTTGGGGCGAGGGCCGAAGTTGAGCAATGGGAGGGAGACCAAGGACACTGAACAGGGAAGGCAGGGTTCCGGAGCCACAAAGAGAAGCCCCCAGGCTCCACTAAGCAGCTGTGCCAGCTCCTCTCCAGGGAGGAGGTCTGGATGCCCCTTCCACCATCCAGGTCCCTCTGAGTTCTGACTCCACACTCCACTCCTTCCCTCCTGGGACGGCAGGTGAGAACACCGAGACTTGTCCTTACAGAGTTTGTGAGCCCAAGTTCCCAGGACCCTGGGGGTGGGGGTGAGGTGACCCTGGAGGAGAGAGAGAAGAGCCATGGGGTGGAGGTCCTAGATCAGTGCAGAGGGTGGGTCTAGACTTTCCTTCATGTATCTGCGTGCATGGCCTAGCTCCTCACTTCAAGTTTACTCAAATGTCACTTCAAGGCAGCCGACCCTATTTAAATGTCCACTTCTGCTCATCTCATTACTTTGTATTAATTTTTTTTAGATCATCACTTTATAATGCACTGCGTGCGTGGCTTTGCCAAAGATGGCTTCAACAATACCTCTCCTTCATGCTCTCTTGCAACGTGACCTTGGCCGGACTGCCCTTCCCTTGAGTCCGTGACTAGAGTAGATGCATAGAACGTGGGGGAAATAACGTCACCAGTTAATTCTGACAGAAGGAGCCCCTACAGTTGGTTTCTGACCTGGTTGCTTTAAACATCTCTTGGAACCCAGATGCCACGCTGGGAGCAGCCCAGCCATGCTTAGTAGCCAGGCAGAGAACAGTCCAGGGTCCCTGGTTCACAGCCCTGGTGCCCTCCAACTGACAGCCAGGACTGTCTGTGTGGGACACAAAAAGACCTCTCCCCAGCTTTGTCTCCCCCAAGATATGCCAAACCTTAGAGGCTGTTTGCCAGCACGTGGTGGGAGGTCAGATGCTTAGAAACATCCTCCCTGAAGGCGTTCAGCCATCAGACTACTATTTGGTCCCACCACAGGTGGGGCTTACTCCCTGTGGATAGGATAGTGATTGTTTCCCTGGAGAGCTCAGTGACATCCAATGCTAGGCTGCCATCTTGAATCTAGGATCCACCTATCTTGTCACATGCGTACCCCCAATCCCTCTCCTTAGATCTCCCCCTCTTATTACTGTAGTACCTGTAGTATAACTCTTTATCTGTAATTAGGGGGCTTGCACGTCCCTCAAAGAGATAGAAGCCTTGGTTAGAAGTAAATCACGCTCTCTCTCCCCCGGTCCCCTCTCCTCTGGCCCTCTTCTCTCTCCCCGCCCCCCACCCACCATCCCCTCCTACCCTGATCTCTCTCCTGCCCTTCCCACCTTCCACATCCCCACGTGGACCACCAAGCAGGGCTGAGGTGAGCATGCTACCATGAAGTGTGTCTGACTCCTTCATTTGACGCTCTCCTATCTCCTATTCTCTACGACTTTACTATAATCGTTATATATTGTCACTGTACCATTGGGCCTGTGATGATGTTAGGGGCTGGCTCCCTGATATGTCTGCAACCCTGCAGGGGAGCCTCCAGCGGTGTTCTGAGCCAACTGGGCGTCTGGCAACCGAAGTCCCAGCTGCCAGCACCTGAAGCGGAAGAGCTTCCTGCTGAGCCCAGACAGCCACAGAAGGAGGCGGCGGTTTTAAGGCCCGCGTTCTGGAATTGTTTGCTACCCACTAATCCATAATGGAACATTAACCATGCCTTTTCTGTCAAATTACGAACCAGGGCAGATTTCTTTGTTCCCTTGCGCCATTTTCTGATTTAATGATTACCACGCTTAGAGCAAAGAGTCCTGGTGGGACACTGGTTAAGTGCTCAGCTGCTAACCCCAAGGTCAGGGATGGAACGTGGCCCTTCTCCATAGGAGAAACGTGGCAGCCTTGAAGACCTTCGGAAACCCTGTGGGACAATTCTACTCCGTCCGATAGGGTCGCAGTGAGTTGGAATCCCTATGAGGCAATGGATTTCTTTGGTGTGTTTTTTAAACCTAGAGCAGTACTTGGCTCATCAAGTATTTGTGGAGTGAATGCATGCTGGGTCTCCAGCATCTCTTGAGCCTTCATATCTAACCTGCAGCCAGGTTAGAGGTGGGCTCTGTGCTGCTACCCAGCTCGTACCTGTGACTCAGTTGTATTGCGTGAGGCCCTATGGTCTGGGACCCTGGGTCAGTCCTTTGAGCAGGACTGGAATTTGGAGCTCGGGCTGCAGAGCCTCGAAGTTCAGGCCTTGGGGTAGTGAAGAGCTGGTTTGAGCGGGTCCAGATGGAAGATCCTGGGGCTGGGGTCCCTGAGAGACTAGAAGGTGGGATTGCAGCCTTCACAGGCTGGCCGGACAGGGAGCAGGGGCCAGTCGTTATTTAGGAAGAGGGGACACGTCTTACTGCCATGAACCTTGTAGACCACAATGATG